GAATCGTCATCTGGCTTTGACTGGCATAATTGGCTCTTTTCTTCCCCTCCGCTACTTAGCGCTGATAGCCCAATTTAGCCGCCACATGCTAAAGACACTTTCAGAGTGTAATCAGAATTAAAGAGAATGGGTTTTACTCACTTTAAAGGCCCTTTGAGTCATTCTCTGTGGGCTGAAACAGTGATGGGTCCCTTTAGTTGTCAGAAGAGATGGGGACACATACAGTTGGCAGGGTCTGAGGATGATAACACGCCTGTGGCGTCCTCATGTAACATGCGAAGATTCTTCCCTGAGAATGCCCTCTTCCCAAAAGACGGGCCGACATAATGCGTCTGCTCTATGGTAATAATGGTGAAGATCTGTAAATTGGTCTTGAGATACCATCAAAAGACTATTTAAGACCATAGAGTGAAGATATCCGTGGTTAGGTGACAAAAGAACGTGTGGATAGCACTTCGTCTAGCGGCGCATGCTGATGCATTTTTCCCATTACGGATGATGGCTTGCGACTACACTGGAAAAATGGACAGTAGCGTTGAGATTATCTCTCATTTCCTTTCAGTCAGCCTGTCAGTGTTCTTTTTCACATATTTTATTCTCTCGTTCACCCTCTCTTTCTTTCTTATATGCATAGTGGATAGAGTTTTCTCGCTGCAGGCTATTTCTTTTGCTAAGCTGAGTAAAATGCAAATGCCGCACATGAGAAATAAAGGAGGAGAGGACAATTCTGTGATTTTTGCTCCAGCTGGTTTGAGCTTTACCCACAGAAAACCTCGAACATAGCCGAATAACACCTTTGCTGGAGCCTTTCAGAGGTGCTGTAGTGTTCTTTCTAGAAGGAAATTATTAAAATCTCTCAATGAGTCAGCCGGTCGCTTTTGACGACTTAGAGCGGTGCACAATATGTGGTCATATCCAGAATATAAAGTAAACATCTGTCCAAAACAACTTTCTATACATTGCTGGAATATACTCAGCCAGCTGAGATGGCGCACGAGAGAGAGAGACGAGGACAGAAGGAAAGATAATCCTAGCCATCCCGCCCCTATAAAGGAGCTTTCACTGAAAGAAGGCCGTGTGTGTCTTGTGTTTATCAGAGGGACTTGCTCCTACCTGCAGGGGGAAAAGAGATTTGAATTGCAGTCACTTGCAGAAAGCATAGCAGGTTTGAAACTTTCCTCAGACTGAACAGTTTCAGCTCTGTAGAGCTGGAAATGTCCACGACATCTCTGTGATGTCATTTCAATGAGGCAGTGAGGCATCTGAAATAGTTTAACATTTCTAATCACGCACCTCAACAAAATATAAGCGCCAAATTCACTTTAGTCTAGAGAACAACATAAGGTAGAAATTTTGTTGCTGCTTTCAAGGGGAAACATGATGTTGGTTATAGGGCTGCCAATGTCTTGTCTAGCTAGGAAGCACATTTATAGCAGCTTATTTAGTACAGAATGTCAATAGGTGTAAATATTTCCCATGTTTTCTCTTAGAATAAATCACTCAAAAATATGTATGGAAAATAACGGCCGGGCTGCTGAGTTAGGCCTCTGTGTGATTCAATTTCACTAGGATTTACTGTGATCCATGTGTGGATTCCCTTGGGAAATATGTGCTTTGATTAATGTAATACAGGGACTGGGGGAAATAGGTGTGTGTGTGTGTGTGTGTGTGTGTGTGTTATTCTCATCATTTATGCAACAACTTTCATTTAGACCTCACTAAGTCAGAATATAGTTGGTGTGGTTATTAATAGTTTAGGTACATTATTTCATTATTTATATATTTCTTTAAACAAGTATTATACTGCATCAACTTTGGGAATATAGTCTACAAGGTTAGCTTATAATTTTAGATATGATGCCAGTAAGATTTAGATTTTTAATTTCTTACGTGATTTTCTATTAGGTCCCTTACGCTTGTCTAACTTGGGAATGGCAGTGATTATATTAGCTACATATATTAACAATTTATTGAGAATTTATAGACAGCTTAATATAGTCCTGCTTATTAAAAATTACAATTTATTCAATCTTTTGTGGGAAAAGTTTGTAAGTTGTCAATAACAAAGTCACGGGATAAAAAGGACAGATCTTTTAAAGAATCTAATTAAAAAGCAAGTGCAAAGTTCATATATAAAGTAGCATATAGTGCAAATTATATATAAAGCTTTTTTTAAAGAATTATCTTGAAACACAGTCAAGGCGCTGTAAAGGGTCCTCCTTTTATGCAAAACTCGACTTTAACAACCAAGTAAAACAACCTTTCTATATAATGCGTCAATTAGTGCGCAAAATGAAGGCGTAACAAGAAATAAAGTATCTTAATTTACAAATGACACACTGAGCCATTGTTAAACATGACTTTGTCGGACAGTGATCGATGGATCATCTATGTACCCATGCCCGCTGATATATTTCCCGTTATAAACTTATTGCATGACCTGTTACAGGGAGGGTCATGTTAGTCTGTGCAAATTAATTCAGAATGCTGTTACGGAACATATCTGACTGACACGTCACATGGCTTTTTGATTGATCAATGTTATTTTATATTTTAGGAAACTGATTTCAGATAGCACATTTTCAAACAAGCAATAAAAATTGCAGGCAGCCAGTGAATCGACTTGTAAGTTCTTAACACGCGTAGTTTGGAAGAGTTTTACATTTCACTGCAGCTGCTCGTGAAAAACAGACTTACGTGTCCAGCTGGTCTTAAAAACTACACTAACTTATTTCTTTTCAAATTGCAGATAGAGTAAAACTCGATTAACTACACTTTTAATGACTAATTCGTTATATCTTTGGAACTTAAAAAAAATAAATAAATAAGAAGCCTACCTTATAAGTCCATGATATAAAATCCTGGAAGTCTTTGCTTAAGAAGCTATAAGAAGCTTAATGAAATTGTCAAGGAGAGTTGATGTCATTTAACCCCCTGCATCCTTGTTCTATGATGCATTTGCTACCATTATTGGCCCTCAAGCAAAACCGTATTTATTTTATATAAATAATGTGATTTTCTGCATTTGTAGGCTATCACAGTAAGCGCAAGGCCCTCGCAGAAGAACAAGCTCTGCACAGAAATACATCTTATAGCAGATTTTACGAGCGTGCGATACAACACGGCTCTTAAATTCAATATAGACAGTTTTTCGCGATTTAAACAAAACATTCAGATGGAGAGAGTGAGAACGGGAAAGAGGGGTATATCTCTTACCGCAGGAATGAATCCAACGCAGCTCCCTCTCTCTCTTGCTCCGTCTCGAGTGAATCCCGCTCTCCTCCGCTCCGCTATTATTTTCACTTAAACATATGAAAATTTATGCAAATGAAAATCAGCACTAACTGTTCCTCGCTCGCAGTGCACCAGTGTTCCTGTCCTCGACACTATACAATAGGTTATATGTAGGTTATTCCAGGGGTGGATCAAATAAACAAACAACAATAATAATAAATCAGCACTCGGGGATTATTACGACGAGCATCTGATGGTTCTTTTTTTCCTTTGAAAGTCCTGATATGTTCAAGTTCCATGTACCAGAGGTACCACTGAAACTAATTAAACAATCTGAAATAGTTGGTGTTTTTTAGGCTACAACGATTGTGTTTATTTGTGCTTTGTTATTGTATTTTATAGGCTATGTATTTTTTAAAACATCGTTGTGCGCGAGAGGTGGAGACAATTCAAAAATTAATAAAATAAATCATCTTAAAAGTTTACGCGGCTCTTTCTTTGAAATGGCTCTGCTTTATTCTTGGAATAAATCTGAATAAACTTTAAAACATGCTTTCCGTTAAGTTGTCAGTCCTTACATGGTGGTGATAGTAGATTACATACATTTTCTGGATAAAAATCTAATCTATGCTTACTTCATTTGTACCCCTAAGCCAAAACTGAAATGCTTGATGTTTTTATCTGTCTGTTTGCTTTGTTTTATCTGTATCCCATCTATTCTGATTTCCCTGTTTGTTTGTTACATGCTCATAGGTAAAATATCATTCACAATTATAATTTATAATCAGCAGAAATTCATTTTAACATTCAGATGCATGTTGAAGACAAAAGGCCAACATAAAGTAAAATAAAACAAGCCAAACAATTTCCTCTGAAACAAAAACAAAACATCTACTGCGTCGTTAAGCCAATAATGCAGTACAGCGCACTAAAGTGATATCAACTAAAGCTTCCTGTTCGGATAGAAGGTCTAGTCACTTTTATTCGTATGTTGACATATCCAAATTAGACATAGCAAATTGCAACGCCTTGACGTGATTTCTTAGCTGTGCCCTAAGATCTGTCACTCTCCCGGAGGATATCCAATGAGCATCAATCTCGCAGAAACTTCCTCGCGGTAATTGGGTGAAGGATGTGGATGGTGTGCGCACGCGGGGGCTGAACGTAAACATTCGCGTGCTCTCGCGCTCAGAGAGTGGAACGGAGCGAGCGAGGACAGTGAAAGCTCTCTATTGCGCGGGCATTTAATAGGGTGAGTGCAGTTGAACGTATTGAAGATTAACGTCAGATGGACTCTGTGAAAAGAAGAAATATGAGAAGCAAGACTCGGTAAGAAAACGCCTTGTGGGTTGCGGGATAAGAGTGAGGTTTACAAAGGAGCGTCTTCTTCTGATAAGCCTTCACATCAAGTCAAGAGAGCGCGCGATGAAGTTCGATGTGGGCTTTGTGTAATCGTCACGAGAAGTTGATGTGAAGAAGAACAAACAAGATTTTTGGTTACATAATTGGTCTTTAAGACAATGACATTAAGAACGGAGTGCTTCGTAAAAACAACTTCCATGCATAATGTGGATTTCTACGCCGAAGGTATTTCGTTCTCCTTTTGCTTCTGATAAAAGGAGGGTTTAACGGATATATTTTGGCCATCTTTTGCCGTGCTGTCGGTGGACCAAATCAAAATACCACGCATACTTTTCCAGCTTGAATAATTCATGAAATAGTGCGTGCCTTCGAGGCTTGGAAAAAAAGTTACGACAATACGGGGAGGGGGAATAATAAGTAGAATTGTTCAAAGTGGTGAGGGGGGATGGCCACAGCGGCTTCCAATCCTTACCTGGCCAGCAATAGCATTCTCTCATCAGCCTCGATCGTGCACTCGGAGTCCGGAGGTGGTGGCATGCAGCCGGGAAACGGTGCCGTAACATCGGTGTCGGGAGGTTACAGAGGAGACCCCGCGGTCAAGATGGTGCAGAGCGACTTCATGCAAGGAGCCATGACGGCCAGTAACGGGGGGCACATGCTGAGCCATGCCCATCAGTGGGTTACCTCACTGCCACATGCGGCTGCCGCGGCCGCCGCCGCTGCAGCCGCTGCAGCGGCAGAAGCCGGCTCCCCTTGGTCCTCCAGCCCAGTTGGCATGGCCGGGAGCCCACAGCAACAAGACGTGAAGAACAGTTCAAACAGAGAAGACCTACACTCTAGCACCGCGCTGCACCACAGAGCCTCGCATTTAGGGGCTCACCAGTCGCACCAAAGCGCATGGGGTGGCACCACAGCCTCCCACATCCCCACCATCACCGGAGGCCAGCAGCAGTCCCAGCAGTCTCTCATTTATTCCCAGCCGGGTGGCTTCACAGTCAACGGGATGCTGAACCCTCCCGGGAGTTTAGTCCACCCGGGGCTGATGCGAGGAGACTCGCCAGAAATGGATCACCATCATCACCACCATCATCATCAGCAGCAGCACCCTCACCACCACCACCACCAGCAGCAGCACCACGCGGGAGTCAACAGCCACGACTCGCACTCAGACGAGGACGCGCCGACCTCCGACGACCTGGAGCAGTTTGCCAAACAGTTTAAGCAGCGTCGGATCAAACTGGGTTTTACTCAAGCCGACGTCGGGCTAGCGCTGGGAACTCTTTATGGAAACGTTTTCTCGCAGACCACCATTTGCAGGTTCGAGGCTCTCCAGCTGAGCTTTAAAAACATGTGCAAACTCAAGCCGCTGCTGAACAAGTGGCTGGAGGAGGCCGACTCGACCACGGGAAATCCCACCAGCATCGACAAAATAGCAGCTCAAGGCAGGAAACGAAAGAAGCGCACCTCCATCGAGGTGAGCGTGAAGGGAGCCTTGGAGAGCCATTTTTTGAAATGCCCCAAACCGGCAGCGCAGGAGATATCCTCTCTGGCGGACAACCTCCAGCTGGAAAAGGAGGTGGTTCGGGTCTGGTTCTGCAACCGAAGGCAGAAGGAGAAGAGGATGACGCCGCCTGGGGTCCCTCAGACGCCCGAGGACGTGTACACCCATGCCGGCAACGTGAGTGTAGACACACCGCCTCCGTCCATGGACTGCAAACGTATGTTCACTGAGACGTAGAACAAATCATTTTATATACACTTCAAGTCAGCAAGATATCACAAATATTCTATGTAAATTACGAGAGAAGCCGAAACTAAAATCTTTAAAAGCTCTTCGTTTTATCCTCCAATGTCCCTAACGATAAATGACTCTGTTTGCTCTGTGTTTCAGGGGAGTTTTGTGGTAGATTACTTAAAAGGTGCAAGTTTGAAAGATGAACCGGACAGCAACCACAACGTGACAACTGCGAGCTCCTATGGCCAGGAGATTCTGGTGCACTGACACCGAAATCATAACCAGCCCAAAACCAACATAGACTTTATGAATTGAAATGATAAAAGAACTCCCAAGGACATGGATCAATGCAGACAAACATTAAATATTAAACAGTGGAACAATTTACCCCAGGACACGTATCAATTTTACGCACAGGAATTCTATTACTCACTTTAACAAAACGGAATTGTTTAGCATCATGTGCAAAACGGAATTGCATTATGTGCAACAAACTACACCTTTTCTATTTCATAGTATTTTTGTGGACCACACTTCTGTCAATAGCTTTTACACAGAGAAAACTCTTAAGAAAAACAGAAAAAAAGGAAAAAAAAAAAAAAAAGATTGATTACTCTCAAGCTGCACTTATTTTCCAATTTCAGCCGACCCCTTGTAAACACTTTTTGTTGTTGTTTGGCTGAATAATCGTGGATATTGCCCTCTCTTCACTGCTTTTTCCAGGCAGATATTTTTGGTGGGTTTTTGATAACATGTCTGTGTAAATTTGGCAATATGAATTATCTGTGTTGATTTAAATGATTTGCTTTATATTTTCACTAAAATCAATTTCAAAATATTTTCAGGAGCAATGACAGATTTGTTGCGCGCTGTGATGACTTTCAACCTAGTAGCATCCCTTGTAGGCCTTCCCCCTGCCGTTTTAAATATTGATTATATTTTATACTGTTAGTATTACACTTGTTATTATATACAGATATTGTACACAAACACATTGACGAAGCTGAAACAAACCGTTGTCAAACCGTTTCCCCCGTGGTTGTTATTTAAGTTCAGTACTGACTCAGCGAGAAGTGAATGAGAACAATAAATCTGATAGCTTTCAGATGCATCGGTGCAACTTTCTTTCTTTCTTTCTTTCAATTTTGTTGAAATATTAAACTTCTTTCTAAATTAAAACACATTAAGATTTGTTTGACGTTTCGTCTAGGCAAATACAGAGACAGTTTCTGAAATGTATACGAAGGGAATTTAGAAGAGTATCTTTTTTCCTCGATCTTCTTCTGACCCTTGGCCTAAATATGGAAGTGTGAGAACTTCCCAAATGTTTTCACCATGCATTGTCATATTTCCTTATTGTCTTATTTTTTTTCTTTCTGTTAGCATGTGTTTCTGTATATGCTTTCGTGTTTTTTTATTTGAAAAACAAAAGAAACAATCATACCATGTAATTGTCTATATACTGTCTATCTGCTATATTAACGGCGTATATCAAGTAAAGATAAGCTTCACGTCGTCGTTGCAAAAACAAATAATGTAATACATTTTTCATTTTATTATAAAACTTCTCCGTCACGAGTTAAAGAATTTTCTGAGACTCCAAACAGTGCGGGGTTATGGGGTATCCCAAACCTGATCAGTTATACTGTTTTCGTATTGTACCAATTATATATATTACGCATTATACCAGCTGACATACACTATTTTGATTTAGATTATTTTCCTCTCAACTGAATATAAATTATCAAAACATTCTGAGGCCTTCTTTCTTCTCAAAAAAAAAAAGACAAAGAAATGACTCTAGGTATAAATAGCCTATTATAAATCATAGAGAAATGGAAATGTGTTGCACTATTCAGTGTTGCACTACTACTCATCCTTTTCAAAACTCTTGTCCCCATTAAACCAGAGTAATAATTTCCATATTTTGTAATACCACTAGAATGTCTTGAAAGTTTCTTAGTGTTTTCCCCCTTGTTTTCATAAGTATTTGACATAAATCATGATTACCAGCGACGTGATTATTGCCTCAGACATTTACCGCATTCTTTGTAGAATTTCAGGACATTCTTTTATTGTTCAGTCCGGGTCATTTCAGTAAACTGAACTGGATGAACTGAATAAAACAACTGCAATATCCTAGCAGAGAACAAACTGCAAAATTGCATTTATTGTAATTCAAATACATCATATTAAATTAGCGTGCCTTCAGCAAACAATTGATTTATTTGGCTTCATTTCGGGAACGTTCATTTCGTAAAATGCTTTTATTTGTTTTCAAATTGAAATTTGAAAAAAGCACGAGCGTCCCGCTCAGCGAGTGACGTAATTTGGAATCCATTCCGTGCACGCTCTAAAGCAGGAGTGAATTTGTATGCATGGAAATTCGTATGCTTGCCACGTAGCTCTCTGAGTGCAAAAGGGCCTAGATCCTTCCATCAGATTGCAATGTAAAAGCGTGCAAAAACGATTCTGTGACTGAATTGCTTTTTTTCTGTAAACCGACCGTTTCTGCTGGGGAATAGCACAACTGTTGGCCCTTAATTTTCATCAAGACAAGTTTGGCAATTTCCCCCATTTGTATTCATTTCTGCTGTGTTTGAAATAGCTGGCTTTGCACTCTTTTCAGCTAAGGCGCAACACTAACCTTCCAGCTGAACGAACTACGCTTCTGTTGCCTCTGTTGAGACTTGGGAGTGCAGCTGATTTTTTTTTTCCCGGAGAACTTTTGTGTGGTAGTGACTATTCAACCAAACACACGGTTCTTCTCTTGAAGATTAAAATTTCGCAATATAAGCACGCGCCCCACCCTTCATGCAATATACTCAATATTAATAGCATCGCTCACACACCCAGAATAATGGAGTTGTAAAGCTTTCTGTTTCTGTCTAAAATGCACTTTTATCTCAAAGTTTATGATAAGCAGTGATAAAATGAATGAAAATAAAGAGATTTATTAGGCTGATTACATTACTGTTAACTCGCTTTAATTTTGAGCTTTACAATATATTCGAAAATAAAGTTTTTAAAGTATATTTTAAGTTTCCAAAGTAGCCTAAACAAACCAACCTTCAAATGAATATGAAAAGACATCGGCTGTACCTCCTCAGTTAAACTCACAAAGATAACTGTAATGATTCTGAGTGATGTGATGATGAAAATTAGTTATTCTTCTTCTTTCTTATGTGTTAGACCCTGAATTGCACAATAACCGTGTCTCACTACACAGCATAACGTTTTCTTTTCTCACAATTCCCATCAGACCTTCGGCCAATAGATGTGGTCCGAGGCTATACAAGACAGCTGGATTAGCGGCCAAGGGACCTTCACTGTCACACACCTGCTGCAAGCCCATGGCACACTGCCAGACGAGGTCAGTTAGCCTGCCAGCCACATTACCCTGGCAGCAGTTGCCAAGGTGACAGCATGTCAGAGCCTGCCCATTGAGGAGTATGGGGGGCTGATGGCCAACGCATCGCTGCTTCTGACCGGCCCCTGGAACTTGAGGAAGTGGGGGACCGAAGGCACACATTCAAATGCTTAGCAACAAACTGACTCCACACGTGGCAAGGGCCAGAGCGCCAGAGCCTAAATCATTAAATCTCCACATTAGTAATACTAAGTGAGTCTAACACACTTTCCAGCTCAGACGTCGCCGGTTAAGAAGCGCTTTGAATGAAAGCAGTTAATTCGATAGGCAGCAATCTTAAATATGGATATGAGTGTGTGTGAGAGAGAATGAAAGACGCAAGTAGAGAACAGGAGGTGAAAGGTGTTCCTGCTTTTGCTGTACCTATCGCATTAACTGGAGGATGTGAAGCAGAGGGGAAATAAGCTGTGGGCTCTGTGGTTTAATAGATTACTTACAATTGGACACAGGTATTTGAAGTTAGCCATTATACCCTTGAGGCCCCCAAAAAGGTAAAAGAAACATCACAATTCAACCAAATCTGCCACCGCTTCTCGTTCCAACACCTTTGTGTTTTTGTAAAACAAATATATTAGTTTAGCATAGTCTTGTTTTCCAAACGCGCACGACACAGCTACGAATATTTGCATTAGCATGTTTTTGCTGTTTCTAAAGAACACTTACACATTATCAAGAGCTCTTTCAAGCATAAGCTCTTTTAAATTCAACTCATTGTAGTCACGGCACAATTTGTTAAGGTCAGTCCTTTATCTGAATGGATTGAGTCAGAATTGTATTGAGGTCATCAAAACGCGCAAAGCCATATCTCTTCAAGGGCACATCTGAATTTCAGTTAAGCTCTCAGAGCCTCAATCTCCCTCGGAAAGAATGGAAAAAATGTAGACCTAAATCCATCGAATAAGGTCTCGGCATCGAACAGGCCTCTCCTGAAATGCTATTACAGTATGCACCTCGGCCCGTCGCGGGGACTGAATTCAATATACACAAGTGGCCTATACGATGACGAGCCATTTGGCAGCTCAAGAAAATCATCCTCACTACATATTCAGGATTGTTTGGTTTTAATCTTCTGTTTTCGAGCATTCCGAACGACTCGGTTGGGATGTCAAATCCAAATTGTCACTTCAGAGAGATTTCTCCTTGGACCACGTCATTATTATTAGCAGGCTACGTTCAACAAAACGGCAGAACAACAAAATCCTTTCATAGATGAGAGGATACTTTTCACTTTCTCTGTGCTCATATTTCACTGTACTTATGGGGATAAGTGCAGGAATTCCTGTTGTTCAAACCTCTCCAAACATGTCACATACAACGTAGCAGAGAGTTTGCTGGCTGAAATAAAAGTAGCTAATTGATGCAATACACCAAGGACATAATTATCTCTTTGAATAACTGGCGGTGGTTTAATTGCTGGTAATTGTTCTCCAAACCTTGTTCAGAAGTGATGAACACAAGACTGTTATTATGCATCGTGTGTTAATCCTGCTATTCTGGCTTAGTCATTAGGGCTTCTGTATCAAAGCACCATGATAAGGGTGGCAGAGAGGGAAAAATATCACACGCACACACACACAATGTACACGCATAATCGTGACATAATGCGTTATAGTGCTGTATTCCTCCTTACTAACCCAAGCCACACGTTCACCTAAACAGAAATAAACACAAACTTGTGCCACCTTTTTATGGTCCTCTTCTTTCTGCTGTCACACGCTCCGGTACGAATTTTCTCTCAGATGTCATATTTATAACAGTGGGGTTTCTGTTATCCTGTGTTTGCTGTTAATTATTGCCACATTGCAACACCAGACTCTACAGGAAACAAACACTGATTAACGTGATTGGGCCTGCTGAGAATTGCAGTCCGGTTGAAGTGTGTTGATTGCTGAACTGTTCCCACCCTCTCACCCCAGCAGCCTTGCCCTCTTGCCCTCTGAGCCTTGTGAGGCCGTTCAGTGGCAGATACTTCAAAAGATGTCTAGGGTTCGTATAATCTGAAGTAATCCAAGATCTGAAGTGATCGCAATTGTTCGTGTTTTTGAAATAAGCTCAATCAACAGCATTTGTGACATACTGTTGAATTGAATGTTGAAAAAAAAAACTCATTTTAATTTTAAACGTCCCTTTTCTTTAGTTACAGTGAGGCACGTGCATTGGAAGTGAATGGGGCCAATTCATAAATGCTAAAATACTTTTCAACAGTTCAGCCATATGATATAAACAATATGTCAACAAGATTTTAATGTGGAAAAAAAAGATCTATTACTGAATTTTTCAGTGTAACTCACATGACAACTTTCTTGCCATGACAACATAACACCTAAATTGACCAATTTGCAAGAAAACACCTTTACAGGTAATGTAGATTATATATATTTACATTACCATTCAAAAGTTTGGGTGAAAAATATGTATTTATTTGTTTGTTTGTTTATCTTGGAATTTTTTTTTTATCAGCAACAGCGCATTAAATTGACAGCAAACACTTATCAATTTCAAATAAATGCTGTTTCTTTCAACTTTCTATTCATCAAAGTATCCTGCAAAAATATCATGGTTTCCGTGAAAAAATAAACAAACAAACAGCAAAACTATTTTCTACATGGATAATAAGAAAACTTTTTTGAGCAGCAAATGAGCATAAGAATGATTTCATATTAGAAGGA